TCTAAGGGTTACATCACCTGCGTCTGCATACGTTTTGGCTCTTAAGACCGTCCGCGGTTTCATTACTTGAGCGACGTGTGGCTGCACGCTGACATGGTCCAGCTAAGGATGCACCAAGCACAGGTTTGCAACCCAACACACATACCTTGCAAGTTTTGCGCCCTCACACTTTCCTCTCTGCTGCACAGCTCCAAACCTGATGTCACTTCGCATCCAGCTCATGACGACGAGGGGCAATTCCAACCTCGTGCCCTGGCAATCTGCACAAAGATACGCTTGAGAACTTGCGCATGAATGGCATTGCCAAGCATCCGTGCAAAATCCTTTCGTGAAACACTCTGAGCCCAGCCAGGGAACTGGTCTGGCGCCATACCCTGTAGTGTCAAAAAGTCGTTGCAATTCAGATCTCGCCCACGCGCGGTGGAGTAGTAGCGAAAGGCTGCGCACGAGGAGGCTGTCAGGCAAGGCGCCTTTCCGATAAAGTGCGTGCTGTTGCTGGAGCCGGTGTTGCAAATGATGTCCTGCGGTCCATCCTTCACTCGCAAGGCCTGGAGGCGGCGGAAACTGTTCATCTTGGTTTTGCCCATGCCTGAGGCCTGCGGCAACGGTGGGTTAGTGCCACGACCCATGCAGTCATCCAGGGTCAAGCAGCGTTCCAAAGGGGCCGGCCACACAAAGGGGAGTGCCTGCTCAGAACGCCGGATGCCTACCATGAAGAGCCGGTCCCGGTGCTGCGGCGTGCCACCGTGCACATCAGCTGACAAAACAGCCCAATACACGTTGTAGCTGAGGCCTTTCCCAGGCTCCAGCTCCAAGCTTCGCAACGCCTCCATCAAGAGATTGAAGGTCTCTGTGAACCGCTCGACAAACCCCGGCACGTTCTCCAGGACGAACGCCTTGGGCTTCAACTTCAAAATCTGGTACGGCACCCGCGTCATGACCTGGCCACGGCCTTGAGAATCAAGCACCCCTTCCATCGAGCCAGCTTTGCTCCATGGCTGGCAAGGGTATCCACACANNTCCTTGGCCCAATCAGCCGCGATATCATTGTAAATGTCGTTCGCTATGATCTTGGGCTTGACAAAGCTCTTCAAGAAGGACCTTTTTAGGGTTTCGGGTTTAGGGGTTTAGGGGGTTTAGGGTTTAGGGTTTAAGGTTTAAGGTTTAAGGTTTAGGGTTTAGGTTCTAGGGTTTAGGGTTTGAGGTTTAGGGTTTAGGGTTCAGGGTTCAGGGTTCAGGGGTTCAGGGTTTAGGGTTTAGGGTTGGGGAGGAAACCGGCCTGCAAGCGGGGTCTATGTCCGAAGCGTAGTTGTGCTTGATGCTTGCGCGAGGGAATGCAAGGCTGGCGGCCAAGAACTCCGTGCCAAGGCCACTGCAATCACTGCACAAGCTGATACTCTGAGGTTCCATGTGCAGCTTTGGCGAGGCACCGATAACGATCCTATCGGGCGCTTGCTCAGCCTGCTTCACCTTAACCTTCTTCTTCGCGCTGGCCTTTGCAGCAGCCGGTTTGCCTTTGCATTTTGCCGCAGCAGCTGGTTTCTTCATCTGATTCTTCTTGACGGGCTTGCTTGCTGCGCTCTTTGTCTTCGGCTTCGCAGCTTTCTCGTTGAATGC